GGCTTCTTTTTTTTTTCTCGATTATCCTTTGTTGAGGACCATCTATTTAGGACATAACCTCTTTGTCAACATCAGTTCTTCTCGGAAGTTAGATTATAACAGATAAATGTAAGGATCACGTCATTCATTCACAGATTTGGAAGCACAATCTTTCTTCTTCTCGTTAGTATTGATTGCTTCTAGATTAGCAAAGTTTTTTTTGTTAACCCGGAAAAGAAAACGAGGAGATTGATTGGAATAATGTCTAATCTTTTTCCTCGAAATCATGGTACATTACCAGCCCAGGTCAGCAAAAGAGAAATCAATTTCGATGTAAGCCATTTATAGATGAATTTCTAATGGTTGGATTACATTCACCAAATCGCATTTTAATGGGATGATTCGGTTCCCTAGTTCCCCAGTCGAAGTGTTATTTTAGTGTTTTGACTTTCATGTGTAACTAATATTGTAGTGTACGGACTTTTTCTGGTCTGTATTTTGTGCAACATGCGAAGGCTTTGTAGATGCTCTTAATCTGTTTGTTGGTACGCATGTTAGAGACGAATTCTTAGGCTTTGTATTGGTCAATCATGTTCTACAATCATAAAACGTCTACCTCGAGAAGACAACATCTTTGGGTAAATGACCTAAGTCTGGAGAGGGAGATTGCGGAACAAAACAAAATAGTATTTCTTAAGGATAACAACTATTAGAGTTAAAGGAAATGTAGAAGCAAGTGCAAACTATTTGATGAAATTCAGCAAAGGTAGTTTTGATTTTGCTTTTAGGTTTTTTTTTTTTTTTTTTTTCAGTTAGTGCATTCAATAAATCCTTGCCCAAAAACATCTTCGCAAGAGCAATCATTCGAGGGCAATCTCCAAAAATTCAATTCACGTTATACCTGCGTTAGAGATTTCCAGACATTGTTTGAAGGTCAGAGATAAACATCTTTATCATCAGGGTGGAACCTTTGGCATGAACTAGATATGCTTTCACGGTTATATCATCATATATTCATATGCAAGCAAATGAAGTTACATTCGTGACATTTGGCCTTCCAGGTGCAAGATTTAGATGATTCCTCGGTGAAATCAGAAAAAAGTATTCCCTGCAAAACTCTTAAAAAATTTCTCTTTTTAACGCGAAGTGTCTCCACGACCATGAGAAATCACATAACAGAAAACAAAATGAAAGTCGTGTCCATTATAGTCCCAAACTACCGGGCTCGAGCGTATTTAGTCAAGACATTTCAAGATTTCAATTATATTCGGAGCTAGAAATTTACAAATGAGAGATGTGGGAGACAAACAACTAAACAAAATTTCAATTTGTTGAACTAGGTGCCAAGATACGTAAAATGTTTGGCCTTTTATGGTTTCTTTTTCTTGATCTTTTTTTACTATGCAAAAAGTAATTAAAATATATCAAGAAACTACGGCCGCACCTGCCAATCCCTTACCTCTGTGACTTTTAATATTTTTTCTCTTTTTGCTTGGCATGGTGGTGGTTCCATACATCTAATTGCATGGCCCTCACATTTTGACAAAATAGGATTTTTAATCCTTTACACTTCAACACAATTGTTCGTGGTTTTGTAGAAATGTGTCTTTGATTTTTTCTTTTTCCTTTTCTTTTCTAGTTCATTCACCAGTGAAAAACAAAAAAATAAGTTATGTGCAGATGAAATGTATGAGCGCGATAGTGTCTAAATGCATTGTTCTAGTGTCATAAAGGATTTAGTGTGCCAAAAGTATAAAGATTTGATAAATTAAACAGAAATCTAAGTGAATATTTCAAGTCATGTAATAGAGCTAATGATTTTGCTACAAATTTTTATTGTGTCTTGAGTCGAATTTAGATTTCTTATTCGATATTTTTCTAAACAAAGTTCTTTTCTTTTGGGGAAAAAATATTCAACTTTATAAATTTAACAATAAAATCAGTTAACACTTAATGGTCATCAATCAAAAGGTGACGATGAACAGGTGCCTCTCTTGTTACATTCTTTCATCTACCAATCCAAAACAAATTCAAACAAAGGCGTTTTATTAAACCGCTAAGAGTGCCAGACGATAACTACAAAGTTAACTTTTCCGAACAAATATGCTCTTCACAAGACCACTGCGAATCCCAAACGATGAATAAAAAATAACTTTCTGAACAAAGGCGTCCACAAAAAGATCGTTACAAATATCGGACGATGATTATAAAGTAAATTCCTTCTTATCAAGCCCCATTAATTTATGGGAATTTCTTCCTATGAAAAAAATACGTACATATAAAAAGTACGTTGCGACGCTCAGGCTCTTCTAATATGTAATTTGAACCCCGTCAAATTATACTCGAGTCCCTCTCACCATTTTAAAGAAGTAAACTTCTTTATAACTGCAGTAATGGGCCTTACCGCACCAAAGAGAGGCATGTGCCTGATTCTTAATTTTAAATTTTTTTGTCTGTTGTTAAATTTATATTCAGGTGTGCGAAAATGTGGATTTAGTGAAGTCCAATTTGATCTCCTGATTGTGGGATATATCCATCTTAATGGAATTGTAAAGTTTTGTTCTTTTTACTTCAATGAGGATGTTTTAGAGGCTTTTGTTTTCTCTAATGCTTGATCGTGGCAGGTTTAAAGCTTGTTTCTCCTCTCCCTCCGGCTAGTTTAATCATTTTGAGCCTCAATTAAACCCAGAAAAGAGAAGAACAGAACCATCTACTCTGTTTTGGGGAAAAGGAGAGGATTATTTAAGCAAAAGCATCAATATTTGATTGCAGCGTAGTAAATTTCCCAGATTATGATTATTTCTCTGATGATGGAAGATGCTACTTTAGTTGATAATTATGTCATTTCTGCATTTAATATCCAACGCGAAACAAAGGGCTAGAGATAATAAATTTTTACTGTTGATCTGTTTATCAGAGTGATTTTTGTGTTAGGAACTTGCAGACTTTTGAATCATTAATGGTGAATCTTTGTTATTCAGAAGCACCTCATGAAGATGACTCTGAGCAGCAAACGACCAAAAGATCGCTGGGAGATACTGCAAGTTCCATACTTGAAAATGTTCCTCGCAAGCGGAGATTAGACATACCAGTCCAATCAGGTTGAATCTTTAGTGTCTTTTTAGTTTGACATGAATGGTCTGATTTTTGCTGTGTTAATTAGTGAATTGTGCTATGCTTAGAAATCTCTTAATGTAGCGAAGGGAAAATCCAAAAGTTTAGATTTTGATGAAAGAATCTCATAACTTCTGACTTAACCTTTATTGTCATTTCATTTGACATGAATGATTTGATTTACCCTTTCTGAGCGAAATTTAATAAGCTTGAACTCTCTTAAGGTAGTGGAGGATCATTTCCTTATATATCTTCTTTCGATTAGGTTAGAATAAAATCTTGAAAGCAAAAGGTAACTTACATATGTAATGGTATAATAGTGGTGATGATGTTTGATAAAATTTGCTTATAGAGGGATGAATCATCAATGTAAAGGAAAAAACTTGAGAGACTAATGTTCCAATGATTGATAATCCGATATATAGGTTACAGAAGTGTAAAGGGTTTGATAAACTGTTGTCTATCTATTTAGTAGGCGATTCAGTTGAGTCATCCTTTTGATTTCCTTTTTCTTTTTCCTATTTGATCATGAAAGCACTACTTCATCGAATCCCATCATTGCGAATTTTGGATTTGCTTAAAAGAGTTGTGCTTATAATGTGACCGCTGAGAATTGTTTAGTTGTGTTGTGCCTTTCAGTTGTGCCTTTCATATTGACTCTGGCTATGTTAAATATTTACGGTTGCCAGTCGCAAGCAAATATAAATGAGGAAGGTTTGTTAGGTCAACAGCAGCCATGAAATTTTCATATTTTTTGTTTTGGCTCATCTAAGAATTTAAGTAAAGATAACATGAGATGGAAATATGATTCTGTAATACCACATACTCGGATAAAGGCATAATCGTTGTTTCCTGACAGGTACGCCGTTTATGACTGCTTCTACTGTGAGCTCTGTTTGCAGTCCGGAGGGAGAAAGTCATGGTATAATCCAAGAGCTCCCGAGTAAAAAAGTTGCTGAATGTAAGCGCAGAAGCAAATCCACACCTAATGTGCGTGTCGTTGATAACACCAAGGCGAACCCTTCCTCTTTTCGAAGCTTGCGAGTTCGTGGACAAAGAGGAGGTTTCTTAAGTTTTGCTCATGAAGGGAAGTTGGATGATGCAACGTTTGAGGAATTCAGGGCGTGAGTTCTTTGTATCCTTTCATTTGATAAGTAGTCATTTTATGTTTTTCCTTTATTTGTTGGTATTAAATTGCGTAGGCATGTATGGAGCACTTTCCCGGAAGAGAGCAGGAAATCATTCTCGTACCTCGATAGCTTGTGGTTTAACCTGTACGCAGAGAAAAAAGCTCCGAAAGAAAAGGTGTTGAATTGGATTAAGAAGAAGGATATATTCTCAACAAAATATGTTTTGATTCCCATTGTGTTGTGGTATGTATCTACCTAAGGCGGTTTCTTTGACAAAAATTTTGAACTTCTATTGACTGAGATTTTAATGTATAGGAATCACTGGAGTCTTTTGATCTTATGCAACTTCACTCCAAGCCTTCAGTCCGAATCTCGTTGCATGTTGTTGTTGGATTCCCTTCAGCAAACAAATCCTAAGAGGCTTGAACCTGTAATAAGAAAGTATGCTACTGTTCCTTCGAACTCTTTGACACTTAATGCATATAAAAGCGAGTGTTTCTTATCAGTTTCCTTCCTTTATAACTTTGTCTCTTGATAAGGTTCATATTCGACATATATCAGCTTTACCAGATACCAGAAACTATGCATTCAATTCGCAAAATCCCATTTCTGATTCCTAAGGTAAGTTGGTTTGAGCCTTTCTTTTCTTACCTTCTCAGAAAGGTTGTGAATTTTACTAATAGGTTTGACAAATGATCTATTTGCAGGTTCCGCAGCAGAGAGATGGTGTAGAGTGCGGAAGGTTTGTTTTGTATTATCTCCGCTTGTTCATAGACAATGCTCCTGAAGATTTCAGCATTAGTGGTTCAGAGGGCTACCCTTACTTTGTGAGTTGATCTGTTATATCTATTTGATCAGGACTAATGTCCTGGCTCTATACTTCTGTTAGATTCTGTGTTTTGTAACACTTGCTTGAAATGCACAATTTGGTAGATGAAAGAGGACTGGTTTACACATAAAGAGTTCGATAACTTTTGGAAAGAACTGAAAGCCAAAAAGAAATCTTCGAGCTTGCTTGAATAGAGAGCTCAACAGTACCCTATGTAGGGCAGTTGTACGGTTGGAGTTTTTGCATGTAACGTAGAGATATCCAACAGAGATGAACTCCTACAATCTTATTTCAGGACTTCTCTTTTTGTTTAAGTATTTTTAGCAAACTTCAGGACCTTCATGTAGGCCACATAATGTTGCCTTTTGTATGTCTTAGAACGGAAATGGTATTCCTAGAGTGCCTTCACAATTGTATTCAGTTATCTCCGTTCGCGTGTTTTGACATTAAAAGCCACATTGCGGCTCAAGTTATAGTTTGATCGCAGTAGGTTCTGCAATATCAAAGAATGGAGAACATCTTTTGTAATTGATTCGTACTCATACTTTTTGTATCACGTATCCTATCAGTACACCAGGTAGCAGCAATCATACAAGTTAGAACATTTTGTCCTCAGAGATCATCCATGCTGAGTTGTTGTGATGCCTGAAAACTTCTAGTCCTCCACTTTCATACACTTTTAACTGTATCTGCAAAAAGAAGGTAGTGTTAGAACAGAGGAAATGGAAGAAATGGATGCGAACAAAATGGTCAAAAAAGTTTTACAAGTATCATTGGGAGCCTCCAATGTTGTTTCATAAGGTCAATATCACTCTGAAAATAATATCTTTCATGAGAAATGTGGAACAACAGAACCTATATCAGGCCTGCTTTCCCAACTCAAATCATGTGCCCAAACTAAATGTGTTCATATCCACTTTCAGCTCACAAAATCCACAAACTCTAAGATCTATTTCTTTCATCAAATCAACCGGCCATCATATTACTCATTGGGACGCTAATTCTGATTGTTAGCCCTTCTTCTATAGATTGGATTGCATCCAATCAGGCCTGTTCAACAGTCAAATACTGACAAAATGATAGCAGCAAAATCATCATAAAATTTTTATCATGGACGAATGGCCTGCCATAGCAATGAAGACTGCACGTTTGAGATCAATTGCAATAAACTGATAAGCCCTTTCAATTGTAAAAGTATTAAATAGTTGAACATTACTATTTTTTTGCATCTACTTCTGCTGGTTCATAGCCATCTAGAAACAAGCAGTACCTCTCCACAGTATTTAATTAGCTATTCGCTAATACGAACCTCAGGAGGAGCAAAAGATAGCTGTTAAAGCAGAGAGAACTCCTCATAAAACTAATACAATACAGACGATAAGGAAGACAGTAAGAATCAATCAAGAATAGAGCTTGTTATATGAAAATGGAAATGTCAACTTGGGTTCATCACAAAATTTTACCATTCAAATTTTTCTGCACTTCGCTACTTGTATTCTACAGTTTTGACCGAGAATCGAGTTGGGATCTGATGCAGAACATCACCAATTAAAGACAAATTTGATTCAAGAATCAGTCTTTCAAGGATCCTTAGTTCAAATCGAAAAATTTGTTCATCTGCCATTTTGTTAGTTGATCATTGCTTCAGGAGCCTCAGGCCAAAAAAGCGCTGATCTGTTCATGTGCTACTTCCAGGTTCACATACATCATCATTTGCATAATCCCACTGACTCTCATTAATTTCTCTCTTCCAGTTCACTTTCACGATTTCATCCTTTTCAGAACTGATTGTAAAGAAGATATCCATAGTTACATCTCAGACTGTGAAGACCTCCTATAATCACAGAATGTCATCTTAACCTTTACCATGAAACCATCATATAGAAATTTCATGTCCAGAATCTACTACCAGAAGAATCTAAACGATGCTCCTTACCAACTCTGCAAGATAATGCAAAGGGCTATCCTTTCCATTTCCATATAGTAATTTAAATCCACGGTTTACCGAAGAGAAACTTCAGCATACCCACCACTAACAGAACACGTTTACTCTGCTTTCAGTCTAACAAGGCGCTGTGTTTTACTCGGTTCACTCTTGATAAATTATCCATTCAATGAAGTTTCGAACAAAATTCAAGGAAGCCCATGAAAGGAAAACACAGATTCACTCTACAGATCAAAGGAAAATGAATAAAATAATAGTAAAAATTAAAAAACGCGGGATGATGAAAGGTTAAAGTGAGACAAAGAACGTGGATTTGGTCAGCATCGGTGGGCGATTTTACTCGGTTAGTTTTGTTGAAATTGCAGGAGATTTCTGTAGCAATTATTTAAATACTCATTTGGTACAGAATTCTTTACTATTATAGAGTTTGGTATTGGAAACCACAAACACTCCAAGATTCTCATTTTGTTTCATTATGTCTCTCTGATCATTTCTAAGCTACTTTTTTGCACTCTAAACTCTGCTCCAATTTGCTCATTTCGATTTGTTTCCTGAAATTGAATTGAATAGGTTGGGAAAAAATTGTGTAGCCGCCGGAAAACATGTCTGATTGTACTCCAACTCTTCCTCAGGATGTCATTACCGATGTACTAAAACGCCTCCCTGCTAAATCAATCGGACGATTCAGGTGTGTTTCAAAGCCATGGCGATCTTTACTCTCGAACCCTCGTTTCATTAAAGAACATCTCAACTTTCACATCCGTAGTGACCCCGATAAGTTTATCGTTGTTGATCGATCTGATCGAGCTCCTAGGGTCCTAACTCCCAATATGGAGAACAACAGTACAGAAAGAAGATACGACTGGGTTTGCACAAAGGTCATTAGTCCACTTCTATGCCTAAACAAGCAGAGCAAGCGGGTTTTCGTTGTAGGCTCTTGCCACGGTTTGGTTTTACTAGCGAATGACAAACGTACTATGATTCTTATGAATCCAACCACTTTAGAAGCAGTTGAAATTCCGAAATTTGGTTTATCCTTGGATCCTTTTGTGGGTGATGAAATGCTATGTGGGTTAGGTTATGATGAGACTAACAATGATTACAAAATTGTCACATTTCCGCACTATGATAGAGATGAGCAAGATTATGCTGAAACTTTCGCGGATGTTTATAGTGTAAGAACAAAAACTTGGAAAAGATTGGCGAAATCTCGATACTCTCTTCCTTATATTACTGCCGGAGTGTTGGCAAATGGCTGCTTGCATTGGATAGCTAAGGATACTAAAACTGCAGGGCATCCTTTGGTTATAGCGGCTTTCGACTTGGCTCGTGAAGAATTTAAGGAAGTACCACCTCCTAGAGATATAAATATAAGTTCTGCGAGGCTTACTGTTCTTGGAGGGTGTTTTGCTTGCTTTGACAATGCATTAGGCTTTAATGGTAGTAGTGTCATGAATTTTTGGGTGATGTACGATTATGGAGAACAAGAGTCTTGGATTCAATTTAATATCAGCGACTGTAAGTGCATATGTTACTTGTATCGAATTGTTGGTCTCTTGAGAGATGACGAGCTTGTTATGGTCGATAATCGCAAGAGATTGGTGATGTATTCTCTGTCGAGTAGAGTTCTTAGGGATATGAACATTGTTGGTGCTCCATATAGGTTTGGTTATCAAGTAATGACGTTTAAAGAGAGTCTTTTGTCTCCTAATTACATATCAGGCTGATAAAATAGAATCAGAATCATATCATGGTTACCTAAAGATGTTTTCTGTCTTTCTTTTGGTTACCTAAACATGTATGAAGAAAGATTTTTATCAAAATGCAAAAGAGGTTCTTTCATTCTGTAATTTTCCCACACCTGTATGACCTTATTCCAAAGGCAACACAGTAAAAATGGAAACCTTCAAATCCCTCAACAAGTCATCAAGCTGTTACAAGTGATTGCATACAAGTATACCGAAAAACTTTCTCAGTTTTGTTGGACCTGTCTAATCAATGTGCCTTCTTTTGTGATGTATCATTTAAAGGGAAACAAATAGTTTATAAATCTTTTTAGGAGAAAATATGGGAAAATTGAAGCCTGCAGAGCAACAATGTACAAACATAAACACCTAGAACTTTAAAGCAATTCATCGTACTGTAATTATTCTGATACCCTCCGTCCTGAACACTCAACAGTGTGAGGGGAAGTTTCTCTCGGCAAGCAGCAAGGAAATTCGCAACGCGCACCCTTAAATAGCTTCCGCCTCTTTCCAGTTGGAAAGAAACACGCATTTTAGCTCGCAACGCCTCAGCCCTGTCAAATGTTGCTAATCAGGGCGAGTACCTGTTACATATTTAATTTGGTCAGACAAGTTTCCCTGATTCTGCCAGAAGATGCCCGGAAGGTAATGTAATAGTATTTCAAATGACCTTCCCAACATCAAAACACCCTGGCATGCAGGATGATTGAATTTGTCAATGGATTCCCGACAAATTTCAACGAAATACTCCAAGGATCTGTGTCCGGTGGCCAACCTGAAATCTACAGGCCTGTGGGATGCAATACGCCAGTAACAGGGATAATATGACCGGAATATGATCGGCCTCAAAACCGCAAGATTCGTGATTCTGGTTCCAGTACTTGGTCCTAATCTTCCCATCCAAAGCAGTTAGATTCTTCGGTCCCCTTGCCACCATAATTTTCAAAAAAAGATGTGGACAAAAATAATTTTTTTTTAATTTTTGGTGGACAAAATTAGTTGTATCGGGTTTGTCAAATCTGAATATATCTATTTTGTACTGGCAAATCCGAATCTAGCCAATAGAATTGATTCATCACATAGTTGGAATAAAAGGAGATTCGGATTTGCCAAATCCAAATATAGTACAAAATGAATAGTTTTGATTCATCACATAGTTGGAATAGAAGGAGATTCGGATTTGCCAAATCCAAATATAGTACAAAATGAATAGATTCGGATTTGGCAAATCCGAGACAACTAGATTTGTTCACACCACTCGGGGACATATATTTTTGTCCAGGTCCTTCCATTGAAAATTATTTGGGTAAAAACTCTTCTTTCAATTAACAATTTTGTCCTGTATAAGCCAAAAGAAAGAACTAAGTGACATTATTGTCATGGTTTGGTTCTGTTATTGGATCCGATATTTTCTCTCATTTTGATGAATCCCACCACTTTAGGAGCAATGGAAATACCAAAACCTAGTTTCTGATGGCGGGACTTTTGTGTGACGACGTACATGTATAGTTTAGGATATGATGAAAGGAATGATTACTACTTCTTTTGTTTAAGTTTTCCGAGGATGGTGATGAATTCGATTACGATGAGAAAACTGTGGATGTTTATAGTGTAAGAACAAAGACTGGAAGAGATTGGCCAAGCCGCGCTACAATGTTCGTTATGTTACACCAGGAGCACTTACCAATGGTTGTTTGCATTGGGTGGCTCAAGATACTGAATGTGGAGGGTATCCTTTAGTTATTGCTGCTTTCGACTTGGCTCTTGAAAAATTCGAGAAAGTACCACCTCCTCGTGATATTGTTGATATGACAAGGGTTGAACTTACTGTTCTTGGAGGATCTCTTGTTTGCTATGTTCATTCGGTCAATGATTTTCTTATTAGCTACTGGATGATGAAGGATTACGGAGTGCAAGAGTCTTGGTGTATGTTTACCGTCGATGGTTTTGGGTGTCCAAAGTTACTCTTTAAGTACTGTTACTATCTTGAGGGATGATGAGATTGTTTTTGTGGAGAACATTAAGTTGGTTGTGTTTTCTCTGCCATGTAGAGTTTGGAGCGATATGAAAGTTGTTGGTGTTCCATATTCATACTACGATCATAAAATTATGACGTATAAAGAGAGTCCTTTGTCTCCTAATTGCACATCAGCATGAGAAAGAATGGAAATAAAATCCTCTTTTTTTGAACATACAATCAGTGGTTCGGCAGGAGAGGAATGCTAGAAGATGCGGTGACACAATAAGAATGGCGGGAAATTTGGTGAGGCAGATGGAAGTGACCACATGAATCGTGAGATGGAGTCCAGAAAAAAGCATTTCTAAATAGAATACATGTCTAGGTTTTGGTTTGCTGATCTGTAGCTTTTTTATTTTGTTACTCCCTCTGTCCAAAAATAATAATAATAATCTCACATTGAGTTTTGAGCTTTGCATATAAAATAGGACAAAACAATGCAACTATTATTATTATTATTATGTTTTTGAAGATGATGTTGTCGTCTAGATTGAATAGGAGTTATGAAATGTTTACCCATTTAGTATCTTTGTAAGTGTTAGACTGCAGATTGTTCAACCGGTACAAACCTCCATCTTGTGGAGAAGATATTGCCAGTTGTGTGGATCCAACATCAGTGTCCAAGTGGGAAAACCTTTTGTATGGAAGCTCCTTTTTTTTTTTTTTTTCTGTAAGTGTTTAATCTTTTTATAGCTCAAATCAAAATCATCAAATTACAATCACCGTGTTCCAGCTTCTCAATTAGTTGAACAAACAAATTTACCTATTGTATGGAAGCTCCTTAATCAATGCCTTCTTTTGGTTATTTTGAGGGAAAGAAAAATTTGTTCGTAAATCCTGGTGGTGTGGCCTGGAAAAGATTAAAAGAAAAAATTGAAAATTGAATTAAAGGGGAAGCATACAATTTTAAATTTGCTCAAGAAAAACATATATGAGAATCAAACTTTGTGGGAGAAGATAATGTCGGAATTAACCTAGCTATCCCCGACTGAGAAATGGTTTTCCAATATAATAGTATCCTTGAAACATCTTTAATTCTTTATCAAGGGTAATCATTTTGAGTGTGGCTGATCCGACCATAACCCTTGTTCCAACGCGAAATCGAACATGACTTGCGACATGTTTTCCCTAGTTTAACCATGGATAAAGATTTTTCAGTTGCAGAACTATTGGTTACAGCTCGAGTTTGATCTCAACTTTTCAGGTACATTTTGTTATGACCTTGAAGAGTATAAAATTGTTGGTTTACTGCAGAGACTTCTAAGTACTAGCCTGTGTTGTTTATGAAATGTGCCCACTATGCAACCAGTATCTAAACATTTGCATCCTTGCAGAAGATAACCAACAAAGCAAAGATGCAAAAAGCTAGAAATCGCAATCAACAAAAAGAATGCTTAAAACTCCAAGCAACGGATTGACCCGGGAAAGTTCTTCACATCTTTAGCATGAATTTTTTCAAGTCATTGCAATTTTGAGGTTGACAGACTACTATTTTGTATGCCTACAAGCAGTAACAAAATTGGAAATCGTTTTCTCATTTCCTAACGTGGCAATCTAGTATATTCTGTAACTTCATACATTGAACTGGATGTCCCTAGTGTGGTCGAGATTAAAATGAAAAACGAAATGCTAACACACATCAGATTATTATACCTAACGTGAGGCTATTTTAATACCAAACTTTGGTTTATCCTTGGAGCTTCTTAAAACCCACCCCCAAACAGTGTGGATAGCAATGGTGATTACAAAATTCTCACACTTCCGCAGATGGATGAAGTGATTGAGCTGGATTATGTTGAAACGTTTGGGAATGTTTACAGTGTAAGAACTAAGAGATTGGCATGGTTACATTGGTTGGCTAAAGTCACTAAAACTGCAGGTTATACTTTAGCTACAATTTGTTTCGACTTGGCTCATGAAAAGTAACCGCCTCCTAGAGAGATGTTGATCTGAGTGTCGCTAACCTCACTGTTCTTGAAGGATCTCTTGCTTGCTTTTTTGCATCATTTGACGATTAAGTCATTAATTTATTGGGTATCAAGAAGGATTATGGAGTGCAAGAGTCTTGGACTAAGTTTATCGATAATGATCAATGAGTGAAAGATTTGCCCTAAAGCTATGAAAGACCAATATGAGAATCGAAATCTGTAAGAGAACACAATGTCAAGTAATTAACCTACCATTGTGATCATTCCAAAGGGCTATGTAAGAGATTGAACAAAGAACTTTTCAGCATCAACATTGCATCCTTGAAGAACTTAACAAGAGCAATCATTTTCCGAGCAATTCTTTACAACAGAGCACCATCAACTTTGCCATGAACGTCCTCCTCCTTCCAGTGGTTCAACAGGCACAGCATATGGTGAATTCCAATCAGCATCAAATATTGCTTGAAGCTGTGAAACAATGGCGGGGTTATATGTTCCAAAGCTGACCCCGGCGGTAGTATAAAAGTAGTCCCACACCAGGTTACTGGTCCCAATGTGAGCTCTTACATCACTAACTGCATATTTTCCATGGTTGACCCTTGTATACCCTGGATAAAGATTTCCGGTGGCAGAACCATTTTTTATCGCTGGTCCAGTTAGTTTATACCCTGGCACGATGTAGTATTTGATCTCAACTTTGCCTGAACATTTGTTATACCTTGAAGAGGAGCATAAATTGTTGGTATACAGCAGAGACTTCAAGTACTCATCTGTGTTGTTTATAAAATGTGCCCAGTATGCAACCAGTATCTTAACATTTGCATGCTTGGAAAAGACAGCCTACATAGCAAAGACGCAAAGATCAGATATGATGATCATCCAAAGAATGCTTCAACCAGATGCAGTTCGTGAAACTATTCTGCCTATGAACATATCAAAGTTGTTCATGTCTTCTGAGAATAGAGGGCTTGGCATACTTTTTTCAAGTCTACACAAATTGGGGTTAACAAACTGCACTTATTGCTCCCAACAATCTGCTACAGAATCAGACATCTTTTTCTATTTTTCTTATATTGCAAATAAGCATCAGATAATCAAGTAACATCTGTACTTTATTGTTGCAACAGGATTTCCTTAAACATATATGCCTGCAACTATGGTCAAGATTCAAATAACAAATGAAATTCCAGCACAAAGGAAATAAATAGTAGAAGTTGAAATTACCATTGGCGAGCTTGTTAAACTATAAGCTGCAACTTCAACTTGCATCAACAAATCCGGAAAAATTTGTAATGAAATAGTAGGAAATTACCTCAGAAACAGCAGAAGAAAGGGAAGACCAATAGATTTTTTCTGTTGTGTACTGTGACTGACCGAGCCAATCCATTGTACTAATTCTAAGAGTTGAATGTTCTCCTACAGATTTGATAGTATCCACCCAGGCCTGTTCATCAGTCAGACACTTGCCAAACGATAGCTGCAAAGATCATCAAAAACATTTTTCAATGCCTAACTTAACAATGAAGACTGGAAGTTTTGAGCAATACATGATAAGCCCTTGCAATTGCAAAAATATTGAATGGTCAACTTTTGAGAAATACATTTGTATATTTGCATCAACTTTTGCTAGTTCAGAAATATCAAGAAACAAGGAAACCCTCTACAGAGTATGTAATTTGTCCCAATAACTAATCAGTAATACAAACCTCAGGAGGAGCAAAGGATAGATAGCTAGACTCAGGCTCCAATGCTGAATCAGGAAATGCAGGTGTTTCAATTGATACATGGAAAATAGAAGGGTCTGATAGTGGGGGATAGCCGGCTACATGAGGTGTCTTCACAGTGTCTTGAAGGGGTGTTCTGCATGAAAGATGGAGTAACTCATCATAAAACTCTTACAATACAGAATATAACAGCAACTGAAAGATTTCTAAGGAAGACAATACCAAGCCAGACATTAACTGAAAATTAAGCTCCACAAAACAATCAAGAACAGAACCTTTAATGCTAAATTTTAATGTTAACTTTGAGCCCGTTACATATTTATTAACCCTGTCGTGCGTAATTTTACTTTTGCAGGTTGAAGCTTTAATAAAAAAGGGTAACGGAATTAAATTAGAGAGCATGACAAATGTTACAGCACTTCACTAAATGTAGTCTACAGTTTTCACAAAGAATCCAGTAGGGAACCAACAAAATAACATGAAATGAAGACAGAAATGAAACAGTGTTCAGGCATCCTCTCCTAACCATTTACTTCCAAGTCAATGAAATACCATCTGCCGTTTTTTAGTTGATGATATCTTCAGGAATCTCTGGCCACATATCTTAAGCTTATCTTCTTCTTCTTTCCTTTTTTTTTTTTTGTTGTTTCTTTTAGGTCCACATTCCTTAGCATTTGCAGGATCCCAACATCCCATGGGCGTTTGTCATCTCTCTATTTCAGTTTACTCGTTATTTTCCTTTTTTCAATTTTCAGTAAACTGTTTCAGTCTACTTAAGTTGTTCTCTCTCTCCCCCACGATAGAATTCCAACAGCTTAAGTTTCCCATTAAAAGTTGTGTACCAGACTTCATGAAAAATATACAGTAAATGAAGTAGGAGGCTCTGTGAATATCAGTTACATTAGTGATGTCTCTGGATGCATGGTTATGATAATAGAAATCTTTGTGCCTCTAGCAAACAATAAATGATCCATCTCAGATTTCTTCCCTTTAACAATCTTCTATTGATTAAAGTTCCGAGTTTGTTATTTCCATCTAAGAATAATAGAGAAGAAGATGTGCATAGCACTTTTAAATTCATATTCACATTTCAACACGTTACAGCAATCTGATCTAATCTTAATCATGTTCCTTTTCTAGTTTTCTTTCATAAAAAAGAAAAATTGCGATTAAAGATGAGGATCCATATAACTCTGATACAAATATCACATTACTGATGATCCACAAAACTACAACTCCAAAATGTCCACTCTCCAAGAAAATATGCTTTTGAAAGACGGATGAGAGTTCCATTAACATACTAATGATTTATTCCAAGAATTATAGAGAAGTAATGAATCATCCAGTTAGTTTCCTTCAGCATACCTGCACCGTTCTTTTGGATGATGAAAATGTGACCAACAAGGAACCTTTCGCGTAACTTGCCATAGTTCATCAAATGCAAATTTAGTGCACGATGAAGAGTTCAGATGGGCAAGCTTCCAAAGGTTGGAAAAATACATCGTTACTTTTCTCGCAATAGCTGGACAACCAACAAGATAAATTCCTAGTTCCTTCACCTGCAAACAAATGGGAAACACTCTGACTGTTCAGGAATAAAAGCGACGCTAACATTTGACATGTGATGCATGTATGGACATATATCTTCTTTAAATTGCTAGTTTTTAATATGGAGGACAAAAAGAAGTTACATCGGAAGGCAAACGAAATGTTTCAGGACATTTGTCATTTACAGAACGGGCAAAGTAAAGATGAAAAGTAGAAAATCTTCTGATATGATCTCACTTATATAAATACATAAAAACACAAAAACTCCAATATGTGCTTCAGCACTAACCTTCAGAATGATAAAGAGAGGTCTAAGACTATAATCTTAGACCCTAACCTGCTAACCCTGCTACTTCTACTCCTAAACTTGGAAGGTTAGAAAGAATTTTATAGCCTATCTTCTTAATCAATACCGTGCTCTTACATTCTCAATGCTACAACAATACTTTTGAAGCAAAGAAATTCAGCATATAGATCATCTAAAGTGCACTCTATATAGTACCTGAGTAAGAGATTTCCAGTCATTATTTGCAGATCCAATATAAACATCTTGATCATCAGAGATCCAAACCTTTGCATGAACTATGCCTGATCCCCACCAGTCACCAAGTAATAAAGTCACATTCTTGACATTTGGCCTTCCTGATGCGAGTTTGGATGGTTCCTCCGTAAAATCAGGATAAACTCCAGAGTGCTGTAAAAATCTGAAAATTCATTAACTTGATATGCCTCCATGAAAACTCACGTAACAAAGAACAACAGGAAATGCAAAGGCAAAATCATATTGTGGCATGTTTACTGGTAGTCCAGTAAGGGACACACAACTTTTCTACAAACTCACTGCAAATATTAAATACAATCATTTTATCTATCAAGTCCAACCCCTGTTTCCCCTCCTTTTCTCTCTTTTCCTGGGGTCTCACATAAATGCAGTTTTTCGTTCATTGTGGGACTCCTAGGTTCGAGATTTGTACTTACATGTCATTTTACGGTATACCTGAAATAGTAATTTGCTACTTCTACGTAAACTGGAGTAAGAAAAAACAGAAAAATAAAAATACCTAATTGTAATATTTCTGTCAGCAGCATCTTCTAATGCTCTATACACTTCAAAGCCCTCATTAGCTCCAAACTTCTGCATCTCGTCTTCTGAGTAACCATAATCTCCAGAGCGGGGATCATTAGGGTGCGCTACCAATTGCCAGTACTGTGCAATTATATCCAGACTTTTTGAAGAGTTCCCAGCCAACCACCGAAAAACATCCGCTGATAATGACAGAAACGGATAAATTGACAACAAAGGAACACATACCAACAACACCAAGAAAAGGAATGCTATGGCATGAGGTATGTAACTGCCTAAATAAAAATCTAACAAGAATTTACAGTTTTATTCGTTTCACACAAGATAAAGCTTCATGTTGCTCTACTATTTTCAGAGACCTTGCAACAAATTGAGGTTGCTTCAGATCGAAATGTATTTAACCATCAAGAGTTTTGAATTTCCTTTCAGAATAGCCCAACTAAGAAAGCACAGAATACATATAAGTACAGTCAATCTGTAACCAAAGCTTCTGAGTCGTGGCTACGGATGACAAGCCAGAAACTTGTCACAAGATACACAGATAAACAGTGCTCCAAAGGCCTTATCTGTTCCAATGTCACTACAATTATGAAACATGGATTAAGTTGGTAGGCCTGGTTGAACATTTTAGCCATTTTAAGGAATTCGATGATTACGTTTCATTCAAATTGAACATCAACAATGACCCGAACATAAGAAAGAAAAGCTTTAAAACAACTAAAACAGAAAATAAGTAAGTTTCCAAAGAAATTCGAGATAGAAATCAACTCTCTAACAATGTCTAACTCCCGTTTCATCACGCTGTCATTTAATCGGTACATTAGAATTATTGGGTTCATTTTCAAGCTAAAACCCGTCAGTGAATCATATCTCAAATATCCCTTCTCGATTATTATTAGAATCAAAACCCAATAGTTTCCACAAAAGCCAATCTTTCACTACTGGAGTTCGGAGTTCCCAACCATAATTGTCGATAATCTAATAAAACAGCCCAGAGCAATTTCAAAAAAGAAACCCTTTCCGAAAACTTCAATAATTACACACAAATAGGAAAAAGATTGTAAATTTACCAGTGGAGAGAACCCCGGGAACCCGAGGAAGCTGGGGCATGTCTGTGGGAATGGATTGAACAAGCCAGGCTTTGCATTGCTCATTGTTGTTCTTGTTATCGAAATCATTATCATCAATCTGCATTGGGTCAAAATTATTAGCATATTCATCGCCGTCAATGGATTGAAACCGGAAGTCTGATTGAGCTGTTGCGACGAGTTTAATGGCGCAAATGTTGAATAAAAGTAAGAAGACTAGAAAGACTTGAGAAGCCGTTGAAAGTTTCATCATTTCGTTTACTTTCGTTTTGATGTTTTTGTGTCATGATATGGATTATAATGAAATAATCACATCATCAAATGGAAAAGATTGGTCTAACCGACTGATTGAGTCCAAGTGGTAATGAGTGTGATTGCGTTCAGATTTTTATTTTTATTTTTTGTCCAAATATATATTTAATAATGTGAGAGAAAGAATAATGTTGTCTTATTATGAACTAATTGAATCGAAAATAAATTTCAGACAATGAAAATCAACTTTCAAGTTGATGAGAATTACAAATTTTAGGCCCAACAGCATATATATATATATATATATATATATATATATATATCTCCTTTACTTAAAGAAGAAATACTCAAGAGCACTTGCTACTTCACAATCTATGTTTTCCCTCCAAAATCCAAAAGTTATTAAAAAAAAAAACTGACACGTGACATGTTTCTCCATGCTTCTCCGCTCCAAAAAAAAATTCAGTGTCTCCCCCCTAAAAAAACTAATAATCTCTTATTTCTTGCTAGGTAATCTTATCATCGACATTCAATAAATCGAGTATATCGCTAATCAGCATCAATTTGTTCCCATAATTCCGCTCCTACAAAATATTCATAGTTGAAAAAAAAGTGTCATCATCCAATTTTCAAAAAATCAAACTTCAAATTCACTACAAAAAATCTCGTGGTGGATAGGTTCCACAAATTCTTCCCGATCACACTAAATTCCAAAAGTCTCTCCATTGAATTCTAAAATCAAATTCAAGCCATATTTACATAGTATCGTCTTCTCCTCCATCAATTTCTCACCAAAACATAAAGAATCAGATTCGTCTTGGAGATTTATCTGTTTCTCCACTTCCCCCAAAATTACAGTAGCCTCACTCCCTTTACTTATCTCATTCCGTTCAATTGTAGTCCGTCTAACTTAATTTAGTATTCCTCAATTTGAAATTCTAGATTTTTTCCTCTGATGAAGAATGGATATAAATTGGGATAATTTTGTAGGATGTAGCGATGGTGTACCGTAGATGTTGACCGACGGTGCCAGCGTATTCGGATGCCAAATCAAGTTTAGCTGATCTCCACATTTTCTTGGTCGCTCTTCACAAGCTCCAAAATAGAGCCGACGGCACCAACAGATGATTTCGTCTTTAACAAAAATAGGAAAATCCGATGGGGTTAATTCGGGAGAGAGATCCGATTGACGATAAATTGAGGGTCTTCAAGGCACATCTATTCGACGAGATATGCTATGAAAAATTGTCTTCGTAGGCATTGAACGATTTTGGAAAATACACTATCTTCATTGGCATAAAAAAAAGTTTGGAAAATCAACCATCATTCTTTGGCATCGGCATGGGTAATAATCGATTTCTTTTGTCGTTAATTATATGATCATTTTCGATATTTTGTTTAATTTAATTGTAATATAAGAATTCCTCTAATTAGTGATAGTGGTTAATTTGTTACACAAAAGCATTACCATTTACTCTGAATTTAGTGAAAAATTAGGGGTGATTCTTAGAATAAGTCCATTTGACTTAACTTGTTTTATGTTTTTGCATAGGAAGGGACCTGAGTGAATAAATGCTAGAAAGGGGGGGCTTTTGGGACAAAAACGTGGGCTGATGGATTCAAATTCTGCTGAGCTGGTCAAAAACATCCCCAAGACACAATTAATGAGTGTGTCTCACCTTAGGAACCCAAGGGCATGCTTGTTTCCTTGTCTGAGAAACCAACCTCCTAAGTTGATCAATGTCGCGGCTAATATCATTCCTGGAAGGAGAGCAAAAGACCAGTCAATTCCAAGTTCAAGCCACAAGGCATTGGGTGAATAAAGAATACCTAAGCATGGGGAGGCTCTCTTGAAAAAGGAACCGACATCAAGCAATATAAAAGGGGAGATGCATTTACATCATTACATATCTCTGGCTGCACCTTTCAGTTGCCAAGAACATACGGAAGAAACTCCAGACAGAAGGCAAGAAGGAAGGAAGAACAACAACTCAGCAGAAAGCAAAGTTGAAGAACAGCCATCTCATCCACTGCTTCATTCCCCTGAGTGAACCCTGTCACTCCCGGGAGTGACCTCTGAACTGCATAAGCTGTCTTCTTCTCTTAACTGTTAGCTTGTACTTCATTTCATTGATGCATACTTCTATGATGTCTGTGGTAGTACTCAACCAGTATGAATAGCTAAATAGCTTCCAGGGATTAATCTCCTCAACCTATGTTGTAGAGGTTGTAATGCATTGGTTCTGTTCTATGTTTTGAAGTTGAAAGTGTTTCTACATTCAGTTACTTGATCTCTAATTGAATGCATGCTAGAACTAGGGGAAGTCTGGAAGGATAAACTTGGTCTGGAAGGATAAAGGTAACAATCTATGGCTTTAACTATGATAGGAATATACTTAGTTGACATGAGCATTCATATAAGCCGTGGCTCTTAATGACTTCATAACTAGATTCAATCATTGGAAAATAGATTGTTAAAGTTACAAAGATGACTCTAAGAAAAATGGGAACTGACTTAGTGACGAGTCCAGATCCATCACCTCCAATGGGCCGGCCCCCTACTCGGCTTTAGGGTCAAACCGCCCCGGATATGGCGGTGTATTATTACTAACCCTAGTAATAATCGGATGCCTCCCAGGTCTATAAATAGGGACCATTATTCCACAAAAAAGGTACGCGATCTTGACTATCAAATCGATACAGACATAACCCTATTTTCTGACTTAAGCTTCAGAGTGTCTACCATCGGGAGACGCTCGAGGCTCTGTTTTGCAGGAAACCCTAGTCCGAGTTTCACCCTAAATCGGCGGTACAATTCCAGGTATCGTCAAGTGGCACGCCCGGTGGGACCCGAAAACTAGGGTTTGTGTCATCAAGCTTTCTCAAGCTTTTTGAAACCTTTCAATCCGCTTCCAGTGCTTCCAGGACACAATCGGTGGAAAGAAGGATGGTGGTGGTTGACAGTCCCCAATCCAGTGCCGCGTCGACTGGAAGACAGACAAGTCCTGAGGACGGCGAAACTCTGGCACACTTCCGATGGAGGCAGAAACGGAAAAGGAACGACCGACGAACCAAGAAAGAAACCACCCCTGTCAAGCCGACCGATCAGAATCGTCACCATGAAAACCCCGATCCACACCAGAAACAACGGCTGGCCGAGATCGAAGCGGAACTGAAAAAGTTGAAGGATGATAACTCCCTTAACCAAAGGAAAAAGAAATATATCCTCGAAGAATATAAACGCTGCTGTTTGTTAGGCCTTCCAGACCCAACAGAACAAGAGATGGAGGAGTTAATCGAGGAAAAAGAGGCAAGAAGGACTCTAGATCTCCTCGAGATCAGAAGAGGCAAACGTCCGGCCCCAAAGGAAGGGGAGGAGAGAGCTCGCAAAGAAACCCCCTATCGAGAGGTTTCTTGTGCTGAACCTTCCGAAACCCCCGGTGATACTTTCTGGGAGGCACTCGAGAGGACAAACCCAGTGGTTTATCAGGCGATTCAGCAGTTTGCACTGGAACATGAACAGAAGAGACAATTTCGCAAACAAGATCGACGACGATCACCTAGCATCGAGGAATTATCTAAAAGGGAGTGGGTACCCCCGAAAAACAATATCCACTCTCGACTGGGTCCAAAAGGGGGACAGGAAAAATCCCGCCATGACTATCGTCAAAGAGAAGACCCTCCACCTCGAAACCAAGATAACCTAGATCTCTCGATTCGAGACTCGATGCGAAGGATGATAGGGATGATCGTGGATCGAAGTCCTTTCATCCCCAGGATTCGAGACTGCCCGAAGCCTAAAGATTTTGATTTCCCTAAAGACTTCATATGTTACACTAGAGATTCTGACCCGCAACGATTTCTCAACAAATACGTACAAGTCATGAGAATTCGTAACGCATCTCTGGACTTCATGGCAAAAGCTCTACCATCGTTCCTCGATGGGCAAGCTCAACGTTGGTTTGGACAGTTGCCGGAAGGAAGCATTGACAGCTTTGAGGATCTCACGGTAAAACTAGCCACCAGATTTTTCCTCAGCAAGCAAGTCACAAAAATGTCCATTGACCTATCCTCTATAAGACAAGGACATAACGAGAGCCTTTCAGATTTCCATCGCCGTTTTACCCATGAATCCCTCCAAATTAACAATCTCGATGACAGAGACGTAAGGAGTGGCTTCATCCAAGGACTTAACCCCTGGGGGAAGTCCGCCCCCTTGCGAGTAAAGTTAACCACTAAGCCCCAACGGAACACCCAAGAGATGTGGGCCACGGTGGAAAGTTACATCCAACGGGAACAGACACTAAAGAATTCCCAGGAGTCTTTCTCACTTGCAGGAGAGCGAGGGGGAAAGGACAGATATAAATCCCTGACTGAAAGCAAACCTTCACTGCCCAGGCTAGACAGATTACTCACTCCATTGATAAAGCCTCGGCGGGAGATACTCCAAATCCACAAGGACGAGTTCCCAACCCCAAAGCCATTGACTCACAACACGAATAGGTCCACAGATCGATATTGTGAGTACCATAAGGATCATGGACATGACACGGTATTGTCGAGAGCTCAAGCGAGAAATTGAAGCGGGAGTAAAGTCCGGTAAATTCCAACAATATGTGCAGAGCACGCAAGGCGCCGGTCGAGGAGACAACCACGGTTCCCGAGAAAAGCCCGGTACCTCTCCCAACTTCCCCAGGCGAAACAACAATTGGGGTTCTCGCAGAGATAACCAGGGAAATAATTGGAAACCGATGGATAACTCACAGCAACTGGCCCAGCCAGCTCTCGATAACAAACCGCAGCCAATACAGCAAATACCTTCCCTCGACCCTACCAAGCAGATTACACACAATGTCGGAGCAATTTATAGAGCACCTCTCGAAGTCCTCTCGACCACAGCAATGAAGGCCTCTGTCCGACAGGTAACAAAAACCCCACCGCAGGAGCCAAGTCAGAAGCGATTCAAAGGAATCGAGGCAATCGTCTTCACTGACAGTGACGTCGTCCCCGGGGTATGTCCCCACAGCGATGCCATGGTCATCGATGCCATCATAGGTAATGTGGGGGTAACCCGTGTGTACATCGACAATGACAGCGCGGTCGACATCATCTATAATGA